TCTTCATTCATCTCATCACTTGAGCTTAACAAACTCGACTCTGATGATGCGTATATTTTGTATTTTGCAAGTGCTTTTATTGAGGATAAAGCAACACCTTCAGAAGCTACACTGCTAAAAGCTAAAATTTACTTGTGCTACTATATCGACTAAAAATTAGAGGTGTGACAAACGGTTATTTATCTGTACCGGGTTACAACGTTCCAGTTTTACCTTGGTAATAGGTTCAAAAGTAACATGTTACTTTTTAAATTTTTTATTAGAAATGCAGAATTATGATGATAGTAGAAATAGTGATGATATATAATGATTTCCTTTATTAAAAGCATAATTCTTAACATTCGTAAACTTAAAATAAATCATTCTAAAATCAGAAACAAAACATGGGTCAGAAGTACCTACTTAAAGAACAGAAAAACTGATAATAATGAAACTAGAGTGATTAAATAAAACTTTTTTTATTTAAAAATTAATTAACATTTAAGAATACATTTTTTTGCAGATGCTTTTTACTGGTTCTAGTTTTTCACGCGTTTATGATAGCACCCGCTTTAGAAAATAATCTCTCGCATTTCGTTTCACAATAACATTAAATAATCCACAATAACAACAAACAGAAATATGTGTTTGGCAAACCTGGACGAATTATTACTCGAGTTAATTTTGGTACCACCAAAAAACGTTAGTACCCCAGGCCAATTCCGTTACAATATTTTACCATCATATTTTCAGTGCCGGAAACAGGCCTTTTAAAGACTAATCCGACTGGATTCAACCAATATTTATGACGGGCCCAAATAACATGTGACAAAACATCACAGATACTTGGAACAGGTACGAGCTTAGAACAGTCACACATGGAACCTGGGACTGAAAAATACTGGTTTGTGTCATCTCTATTAAGGACTAACGCATATATGTTAACTTGACTCGTTGTTTAAATGACATGCGCAAGTTAGTTTTAGGTTACGTTAATCAAAACACTAACCGACTATGTTTAGGAAATATTTATCACTGTAGGTTGAATATAAAATCTCAAAAGCACGTTTATTTTCATAGATGAAAGACACTGTCTGAATCATAAAAATTTGATGGCAGACGTTTACTTTGCTTAACGTAGCCTCAAT